CTGGAAAAGCTAATCGTCTAGTCCATTTCTTACGACATATAAACGGAGCTCGACGCGGTGCAGCACCCGGACCTCTGATTCGTGTGGTGCAGGCGTGCATTCTAAGCACAGTTCTTTGTGGGACAAAAGCGTGGTGGCTGGCTTTTACTCTATTAACCACACTCCGAGATAAAGAAGTCGACACTGGAGTAGACTGGAAAATATCTCTGTTGGACCAAACGATGATGAAAGCTATTCAAGTAGCACTACCAGTGAGGCGAGCCACTAAAAACAGCACTCTTTATCCCGAAGCTGGAATTCCCCCAGCAACTATTATTCTCCAGCAAATGATGCTGCGGTCTACAGCTCGTTTGCGAAAAATGGGTGCCTGGCATCTTACAACCCTCTAAGCGGCTGAGGGCCCGAAATACGCAATAAGACGCTCAGATCTTAGAATTTGACAATCAGATCGCTTGTTCCAACAACTAGAACGATACATGACACGCCTGCGAATGAGCGTGCGTCAGGTTCCGACAGCCGGAGACCCCGGAAGGCTATACTTTCCCCATGGCCCCTCAACATCGACTCCATGTAGCCTAGAAAAAGAAGGTAGGTCAGGAAGCATCAAACGATGATTGGCTTCCCTGCCAGCTCAGGCAATCTATGCCTCTCTGATTGATCATGATCGGTTCCCGGACAATAATCCTAGGGATATATAGTATACTAAGGAGACAAGCTAGCAGGAACTGGTTCTGGTCCACTTCCTGAAGCAGAGATATTCGACGCTAAAGTTATAGGCGCTATGAAAGTCTTGTAAGCTGCAGTAGTGGTTGCAGAAGGCTTACCGATCTAAATTCTTCTGGACAACCAAGCGGCCACCCGGGCGCTCAAAAAAGGAAGATCAGATTCCTTGCAGACAGTGGTAGACAAGTTTTCATCGCTGAGATATAATAAGCGTGTGAAAATACGCTGGATACCTGGTTATGTGGAGATGCAAAGCAATGAAGAGGCTGATAAGCTGGCCAAATCGGCCTTGGTAGCTCTCAATAACAAGTTACTAACCTTAGCTTCACCTAGTGGAGAAGATCAAAATCTAACCTTTGCAGCATTAGGGAAATTAGTCAAAATTTGCAGCCAAGAGCTTATGGAAGAGTTGTGGCAGAAGTATCGGCCGACACGATACAAAGATCTGGACTTCCTTATGCGCTGCAAACGACCGCCGGAACTTGGGCACATACTCCACTTGAGAAGGAGACGCCTCAGACCATATTTCGCGCGGAGACAAATCAGTGGATGATGGAGGCATGTCTGGATAACTCAGGATTTTTGAGATGTTCCCCTGAGTGGGTATAGATGGATGAGAGTTGACTTGGGGTGAAGAGAAAGCTACCATAACTTCGCAGTGGTACTCGCAAATGAAATCTGAGGCATGAGTGCTCTTCTTGTAAGTTGAGTTATCTATTATACAATTCTCTGATATTGTGTCATAGCTAGATAGCTGCATACGCAATTAAAATCTGATGCAAAAAAAGACCGTCGGAATTAGCTTTACCAAGATGAGCGTACCATCTTCTTGTTGCGGCAAGAACAGGCCACGGGGAGTACGCCGACCACCATCAACACTTCAATCCTAAACATGAAGATCTGAAATGTTTGTGTAGCCGAGAGAAAAGGCCCTGGCATTTCTAAGAGCGCCGTCTTGCTTTGCAACGCTGCAGAAGCTGTGAGAAAATGGCCCTACCTGGAGCTAAGGAGATGGTAGGGGAGAAGGGATGGCAGAAGTTCATCCAATTTCTAGCTATAAGCAGTTATTACAGTCTACCGAAGAGTGAACAGGGTGGGAGGTGACCATGCTGAGATTGTTTCTGACTCGAAAGGGGATGTGCTTCGAAGATAGGTATGCGGAGCAGGGCACCGTAACCTAGACATTTACTGTACCTTTTTTCATTTCTTTTGTCGCTTCTGGCTTTATTGCCGGTCATGCAGGCAGCAATGAGCTTCACGGCCATCTGTTGGAAATATAGACTAAGTATATCTGAAGGTTTAGATATCTAAGTATGATCATCAAGATCAATTCAATTGATCCGATTGCATATGGTTAGGCTTGGCTGGGCGACATGAGGTTGAGTGTTATCTGAAATGCAGTGGCTTGGAAATGCTACCTTGCGATAATTAAGTGGCTGGTTGTTGCTAGATCACTTGGAGTTTGGGATCACTAAAGCCTCGGGGATCTGTATTTAATGATAGACTTACTTGTATAATTTAAACTAAGTCAACAGAGTGTTACATGTTATTAAATTATATTAAGAAGAGAGTTCGATATCATATACAACTATCAATAAAATCTTGTCCAAAATTGTACACTGGAGTTGGTATGACAGGGTCAATCTCTGTGATATCACAGGTAATGAGAATGGGGTTCGCTACTGCAGAAGCGGTGACTGATTAACATGTAAATGTATATATATCTCTATCTGTGGACGCCGGAGGGCAAGACTGAACACCTGTACGCGGTGTCCTCTACGAACCTGGGAGTGAAATATTCTCCCAGAGCCAAGTTCAGTCAAATTTCGCAACATCAAAGAAGTTGGCCCACGAGGCAAAAATTCAAATTACTCCACCATGTCAATCTTTCACTCCCAAAGAGTCCGATTCTCAACTAAGCTTCATCAAGTCTACAAGTACGACCTAGTACATCCTCGTTTCAATGACCACACCTCTCGTCGACTTTCTCTGGCCTCAGCCGGCCACCAAATACACGCCTACGCCGATATTTATACACGACGGAGGAAGCAAAGCGTGGAGCACAATTTTGGGAGATAGCTCTTTGGGACGGACGTGAGAGGGATCAGGACAAGTTCACAAGATGATGCAGAAGAGGGATACGTTTTCGACGGGCGTGAAATTTTGAATTTTGGCAAGAGTTTTACGAATTGAGCTTTGTGCGCGCCAAGACTTCGCTTGCGAGAGTGCAGCTGACACTATAAAAACAAGCAAACGATGGAAGGTTTTGTAGCCCGCCTCCTGGCGGTGTTCTCCGGTATAGTCTGAGTAGCCTGGGCACCTACTCCACTTGGGAAGGAGACATCTCAGATTAAATTTCGCGCGGAGAAAAGTTGATGGATGGCGGAGGCATGTCTGGATAACTCAGGGTTTTTGAGATGTTCCCCTGAGTGGGTATTCACGGATGAGGGTTGACTTGGGGTGAAGAAAAAGCCACCATAACTTCGCAGTGGTACTTGCAAATGAAATCTGAGGCATGAGTGCTCCTCTTGTAAATTGAGTCATCTTTTCTGTACTTTTCTTTGATATTGTGTCATAGCTAGATAGCTGCATACGCAATTAAAATCTGATGCAAAAAATAATAAATATCTGTGGACGCCCCTGAAGCGTTGATAAAACCTGAGTCCACTTGTGAGCCTAAGGCACGAATCTAAACCTCAGGCCTACCAGAGCAAGTGCTCCGACAACTTGTTCTTCGAGATATTTCCTCCTAGAAATCCTTGAAAATTTCTAACACCATCTACTCGTGTCCCGTCGAAAACGATGTTGGGTCTTTCCTGTCACGTTAAAGATTTCAAATTCAAATTCTATGGCGATAAAGCACTAGCATACTCGAATAACCATAGAATTTCACGCTTTCCCCTATGGTGAGTATTCAAGGAGCCAGTTATATGCCGTGAGTGCCAACTTTAAGTGGTATCTGCGAATGAAGTCTGAGTATGAGTGTTGCAACCCTCAAAATGAGTCACTCTACATGTAACACAGATTTTCCGAAGATATTTACATAGACCCTCAGGGCGCCTAGACTAGATTAAATTAGGGTAATATTATAGTCCTAGCTGAGTCAATGACTCTGGATAACTCCTAGAATCTATATGCAAGAGACTAGCTACATTTTGTAAGGTCTAGTTGGATAATTTTCAACTTTGCTCTCATGGACACTGAGGGTCCAGGGCGCGTAATCGGGATCATTGAAAAAAATCCTCACATCGAGACTTGATCACATCTCTCGTTCCACATAACTTTAATCATATAGCTTTAGCAGTCCTTCATTGTCACAGACTCAGTAGGGACTTAAATTAAATGCTATTCTATCACATCTCTCGCGGTGCTTGTGTGCATGAACGGCAAAGGAATGCTTTGAGAATCAAAATGGCTGAAATTTAACTCTAGTGGATACCCATTTTTGAACAATTTTATGGTCCATTCCCAGTCTATAACTACATAAGACATGCAGGTCCCCTCTGCAGAGAAGCCAGGGATACCTATCCGGGTGGGAAACTGTTTGATGGCCGACTGTTCTGCAAGAGCAAACATACCCCGTAGTGGTTTTTTAATTAATTACAGAGTACGAGTGTCTCTGGAGTCAATTGAGTCATCCAAAATGAACATGAAGCACTGGACATGTGGCACGGAAAAATAAACAGAAAACAGGTTAAATGACCAAAAAGTCATAAATTTTACACTCCATCAAAAAATATAGAGCATCTTTCACAGTTACACACTTTGCGTACTAATTTAATAATGAGAAAGTGATCATTGGCGCCGAAATTGCGAAGTACCACACCTCAGATTTATCGTAGGGAAAAGTTGAGAGTAAAAGTTTGGGATGTGCTGTTTGTCAACCGTAAGAAGGAGAAAATCATGTATAGAGTCGATTCACGATGTGGTGATAAATTCTCTAAGATCCGAACATTTTTCTATTTTCACTAGAACATTTTTCTCTAATCGTAAGATTTATCAATTAAAAGTCTTTTCCTCTTGGTGTTAAGTTGTTAGATTTCACATCTGAAAATGAACCATACCCTAATTTGTAATTGGACAACGGTTGATACTGGTAGATTTGCATTTCTACCCTTTTCATTTACAATGTTCATACGATCAGGTTGTCTTTGCCGGAACTTAACTGTCAACTTGGCACGTGATTATTCGCTCGTCAGAAGCCAGTAGAGTCGCATCACAATCTCAACTTGACCGAACCGGCTAACAACAAATTATTCATCCAAGAGTTTAGCAAAATGACTATTGCGGAGGAGCTTGCTACAAGGAATTTCAGTAAGATTGTTCCGACTAATATAATAAGAGTCACAAACGCTAAAAATGATGCCCAGGTATCTACGGTCAATGGTAAGCCTATGTTTTGGCCAAAACTAAGGAGCTGTTGCTCTTTCGTCGATGGCAAATGTTTTTACACGGCATCACCAAGTAGTTTTCTCTCGAAATGAGTGACTAATTTGGATCACAGGACTGGTGTAATCTGTATATTCCTATGCTTTGCATTGGGGATATCGAATCTGTTCCATGTTAATATCATGATTTTATTCGGAGCTCTATGTTTGTGCGCTAAACCTTTTCTCATATCGAACATCACTGAGTACTATAGAACAAGCTCTTTCCTAATAATATTTATCGAGATCCCCCTACTCTTACGGATCTGTCCAACCTCCTCCAAGTTCGATACTTTTATGCGTCGATTCTCAACGAACTATATGCGAGCAGGAATTTATCTCGCTATGGGTACAGCTCAATGGCTAAGCCTTATCGGACAACCATCAAGCTTAATCGCTGCAGCTATAATGCTCACTCTTGCTGGAACTTTCTACGCTCTTGCCGGAGTAAAGGGGCAGGGGTTTGTCGGAAGCAAAACATTAGGTGGTGAAGGAGTTGCACAGATGATTATCTAGGAAAAAAAATTGCATGTTCAAGTTGCTCGATCATTCGTCATTATTTGTAGAAAAAAGTAATGGCAAGAATGAAACAGTTCAAGAGGTCGGAAACGGAAAACCCGCTCTCTATGTTGAAGGGCCGATCATGAATCAGCTTTACTCTTGGGCCAAACCCTCGAATTGGATTTTGTTATAAATATGATAAAACTTGTAACTTTACACATCGAATAACATGGAAAGTAGCGACGGAATGACCTGCTCTTCCCCTCAAACTCATTTCTTTTGTCTACGCTGAGTACTTCATTTTTGGCTAGTTTAGAAGGCCAAGAAGTCACCTCATCATGAGTCAATTATCAGAATAGCAAGATGAGTCATCCGAGTGGATTTGAGGTACTTGGTGCCAGTAATATCAAACCTGTTAGTAACTCCAAGAAAACTTGCATAGATCCTACTGCATTGCATATCCTTCATAAAACATCTCAGGATATACGGCAAAGCATAAAACCACGTGAGGTCAATAATGATTTGTGTACCATATGAAGATATATATGGGTGAGTTAAATCTAGAATTGAAATTGAGTATATTTCTCAGTTTCCATCCGAATGAAACTGTTTTTGATGATGATTGCCTGATATTTGAGTATTCCTATCAAGTGATATTTGAGTACCAATTTATAACCAGCCTCCATGGAAGATATTAAGAGCCGATCATTTTAATCGGACCGTAAGGTGTGTCTACGCAACATACGTTCCAGCACAACTTTCTATTTATATTTCCACCTGTTTATCAATTTATCTATTTTTGCGCTAAGTTTGATCTGATCTCTACCGAAACCTCAGCCAATCAATGAGTCTGCTGCAAGAATCTTGCTTACAGGCCTCCGTTGGACCCTGTGTCTCATCTGGCAGGCACTTATATAGGAGTGGCCTAAATTGAAAACGTCGGATTCAAGAACTCCTTAAGTAACGTCCTTACGTTTTCCATTTTGGTATTGGTGGATACTCTTTATGATCAGTCAAATCAAAAGTTATTTAGTCGGAAGCTTCGTACAATCTCCTCAAAGGCGCTTAGCTCCTGGTAAATAAGCCACGTAAGTATTAGAGATATGCATGTTCAGGCAATACCCAGTATTCTCCACACATCTTATCAAGCGGCATGAGCAGTGCAGGACTGTACAAATAACCTAGTCGGCCATCTTCTCCTAATTAGTGAACTGTACATCACCTGCTAATACCAGTTCTTAGATTTCTTATTCAAACTCGAAGAGCAGCACAAAACATATAGGATCTTTGGCGAGATGTCAACAACCGCTCCTCATGTACCTCCGCGTCCAAATAAGGCTATAGCTCATCAGTCTAGCTCCCTTAGCCCAGAAATCCCGAAAATTCCTCCACGCCCCGCCAATAGGAGACATGATCGCTCCCTCTCTCCTCTTCGGGATAGTTATACTCCTTCTCCGTTGAATGAAATACCTGCTTCACACAAAAACGATGATAGCTCAGATATTTCCAAAGATAATCCCATCGACGCCCTTGATACAAAAGTATGCCGGCCTCCATCGGTCAGTCTACCTTCAGTTGGACAGGAAGGAATTGAATATTCAGAGGCATATGCGGTCCATGAAGAAAATACCGATGAATTATCAAGGAATTGTGGTTTTGATAGTGGCCCCAAGATTTATGCACCCAAACCCTCCTTGCCGAACTCAAATACGAAGAAAATGGTTTTAGCAGCATCTAGTCAGGAGTATGAACAAGATCCTATAGAAAATTCTAGAAAACAGATCAGTAATAGAGAAAATCACAATGCACCAAGTCCGCTCAAAACAAATTCCCAACCTGCCATTCATTGTTCAAACAGTGCCGATCGTCCAGCCGCTAATACTGGAAATGAAAATGGCATACCACAGATTGGACAGATTGTGCCCATGTATCCCCACGCTGGAGACGTACAGGCGCCTCCGCCAGCCCAGAACCCGGCAATATGTTCTACAGAGACCGGCTTATTCAGTGATGGAGCTACAGTGAAACACCACGGTCGAAGATTGAGTGGTCTAGGCCACGAAATTCCACCAGACGCATAGTAAGAAAAACAATACACTAATACCCATAATAAAAATATATATTGTTATTCGATTTATGAAAATGAAAATATATACTGACTTCTTATTAGTGGTCGTTATGGTCATGGAATTATCACTCAAGATCCCTTTGAAAAAGCTTACTATAAAAAGCATCCCGAGCTTTTAAAAAAAGAGATAGGATCATACGGAGATGGTAGAACGGAATGGGCTATGAGCAGTGAAGATTTGAATAAAATCGTACGTGAAACTGCCAGCCGTGGAACTGGAGAAGGTAGGGTTTACTGTTGGTCTTGTATATCCGTAATCAAGGTCTTAACCAGGTACAGGGGCGCTAGCTGCAAATTTTGGCACCCCAAGTGAGCAAATTGGATTTCAAGCTTCAGATGAATATACCTCAAGACTATCTTCTCCTCGTCCGCTTCTCGTAACTCAGCTCAACAAACCGGAGAACAAAATCGACTCGGTTTTAGAAAGCGATCTAGTGCTCAATCCCAAATCAATGGACCCTGCCGAGGTTAACACTAGCCTTATTAATCCCCAATTGTGTCAGAGGCTTGAGAACGAGGCGATTCAAGATGGAATAATTCATGTAGATGAACCTGCGAAGCTTCATGCCAGCAGCTACGGCTCTAATATGCCCAAAGAACCTTCTGGAAATTTAGCTCCTAAAGAAAGTGATACTGAAGACCACGGATACAATGCACCGATACTTGCTTCCGACGAAGTTGCTAAAGAGCCGCTTAGCTGGGAAATAGGGCCAGCTGTATCACCGCTTCACGAAGATAACATGGTTATCCAAGATCATTCCCAAATTTCATTTGAAACTGCTCGTGAATCAAGTCATAATGGGAGCAAACTTTTAAGCGAACCTACTACTACACTTAAAACTCCTATCGGTGAGACTCCAACGACATCGTTGGAAGATATACCCTTTGAACCACTGTTTCCTGAGGAAGGAAAAAAAAGCGAGACAATGCAAGTATTGACGAACCAAGAAACAAGGAATCGAAAATTTCCTAGCCAAGACGTTTGGGAAGATACACCACATAGTTTACAGTACACAGCGACAGTTTCAGAGCCTCAAGTTCCCGAGCAAGAGAAGGAGCAATTGAAGGTGGATCACGATAATGAGACACCGGCGCAAGCTTTTGCTCGACGGCATGAAGAATTAGCTGAGCAAGAGTCTAAAAATCATGAGATTTTCTTGAGTCAAGAAAGAACAAAAAAAAACCGGGCACCAAAGCAAGAATCGGTGAAATTTGAGCCGAAATCAAGACCCTCCAATCATCGTTTCCCTAGCCGAGATATCTGGGAGGATACGCCCGATAGTTTGCTCCTTCAGACAACAGTCGCAGGACCACAGGTTGAGAAGGATATTTCCAACGCACTTGAAGAACAGCAAAATCCAGAACTCACTGAAAATACTGAAGCCTACCGACTGCCACAGTTCAGAGACGAAAATATTGATCTCGCTAAATCTTCACAAACGGTCAAGCCTTCAGTACCATTTAGATCTACGGTGCCAAACCTACAAGATAGACAGGAGCAGTCACAGGCAGCTATTCTTGGGAAGAGTCTCCAGAAGCCAACATCTGGTCGGTCGTCTCCACTAGCTATAGCCCCAAAACCAAAACCACAAGTACCAGAGCGTCCTACTAAACCTATCTCTCAGGGCTCTTCGGAAAGTATCCCATCATCCATTATTAGTTCGATAGCTGCCGCGAAGCCAAAACCGGCTGTACCTGCACGAACCATGGGTAGTAAAATTGCAGCACTTCAAGGTGGGCTCATGTTAGACTTGAGCAAACGTCTACGATTGGGACCCCAAACTCCCAAAAAGGATGAAATATCTCATGAACAGCCGGAGGTTGAGAAAATAACAACACTATCCGATGCACGAAAGGGCAGGGCACGGGGACCCGCTCGAAGGGCTCCTAAATCTACGACTATCCAAGCTTCTGATGGCTCTGGGGAGTATGCAAATACCCTCGTAAAAGAGAGCTTTACTTCTGAGATAGTGTCAATCTGGTCTATTGATCCTGAATCAAATCAGCTAAATCATTTATCTCACAAATAGAAACAGAGTAAATATTAGTACGAAAATCCACTTCCCTATTTTGCAAGCAAACGATACTAGTCACAGCAAAGCATTTCAAGACTTAACATTTGGATGGGGTATAGATTCTAAGTTACTAACGTGCTGGTATTTTCCTCGCGAACTTGCAGCCCTCTTGTACTTTAGAGCTTAAATATCTTTCAGCGAGAGGGTCCCGAAAAATGGGGTAAATTTAACGAAAGGTTTGGGTAGAAAGTAAATCATCTTTACGTATGCCGCATTACGATAAATATCTAGATATTATATTTACCATTAGAGTATCCAATGACATTCGCTTAGTAAATTTATTGAATTAGACACTTCCATTACCTAAATATCACTGTTTTGGCGACCAGACTTATATAATTTATCTAACATTCTGGTCTTTTCACTTGGAAATTATGTGGCAAAAGAAACGGGGTTTCCGAATGCGCCGAACTATCTATAAGTATGTATCGTTACAGCTTACGGTTGAATGAACTCAAGGGAATGAACGTGAATTTGATAGTATAGTGGTACCTGTAGAGCTCATTAAATCTAGTCATGATATTTAATATATATCAAATAGTGACTGAGTCAGTGATGTTTATTGTACTGGTTGAGTCTACGGCTACCTAGCACATTGAACTCCTTTCTGACCCAGGCCACACCTTGTACAGTGCTCCTATCCAATTTTGTTACTTGAAAGATCATTGATATATTCCCCTTGATGAATAGCCATTCATCTCAGAATTTACCTGAGGAATTCGGCCACTTTTTCCACGGAACCTTCTACCCAAAAAAAATAAAAATGGCAGCATTGGAAACTGCGTGCGCGGGAAAAAGTCTCAAAAAACCTGCAGCCCCAGCCAGGCGAGGCCTAGACATCGGGACCACATGAGGTGCGCATATTCATCTATATCTCCCTTCTTTGTAACAGTCGAGGCCGACTTGATCCAATCTACCATCTACGTATCGGGTGCTGGGTCCGCTCCGGAAACTCATCGGATGGCTTTTCCTCCATGATCAAGGGTTAGTGATGAGAAGGGCTTCGATCCTACCATCTGATCTGATCGTGGTTAGCTTCATGATAGTGGTGATAGGGGAATGTGTTAAGACACAAAGACACAAAGACGATACAGACCGCGAAGGTGATCGGGGATCCTAGTCGAAGTGAGGACTTTGTTACTCAATCTCGGCTCTGCAGACTCTACAGTGAGAGCTGGAGGTTCATAGAGGACACAACTAACAAGCGTTGAGAATAACCCCCCCTTGTAATGCAGAGTATGAGTGTCAGACGTTAAGAGTCATCCAACATGCATACGTAGCACCGCTTGTGTGCCACATCTAGGTAGCTGAATACACAAATGATTCAAAAAAGTCTCAATATTGGTATGTGAAATTGTTCAGTCATAAAATAAATTAATAATTCATTATCCTGATTTGGTGCCTTAAGGCCCATGCAGGTTTTATCGGAAGATATGTACATTAAGTAGGACGACTAAATTTGACGTTTTGAACACTCACACTCAGATTTCATTTGCAGATACCATTCGAGGTTAACCCTTACGGTGTATATTCTCTTCCGTGCATACCCACCACAGGGAAAAGCGTGAAAACCCCGTGGCTATCCAAGTGTGCTTTCAACATCCCACAAGTACAACATCATCGCGAGAGAGTGGTGTATGGGTCTGGCTGGATCCGAATCAGCTTTCTCCTGTCTCGAATGGGGTAGGTGTTCAAGCTACCCAGTATCTATTTGGGAGAACGGCCCGGATGGTGTACCACTGTACCATCCAATCCATTGTTCAGTCCTAGATTCTGAGACAACGAATTACCTGTAGGCCCGGCCAGCCTTTGTGATGGAGGACGAAGGCTGAACACCTGTCAGTGGTGTCCTCTACGAACCTGGGAGTGAAATATTATCCCAGAGCCGAGATTCAGTCACGAAAAAGGGTGGGATGAATTTTAATTGATGGATTTTCGACTTGAAGGAGTTGCACTCGATATTTTGGTCGAAAAACCAGTCGGCAGAGATTTCATAGCCGGAACAACGTCGAACAAAAAGTCATCACCACCAACATACGATTCACGAATGGGCCTGGGTCTATCTGGGGGTCGTATTCAAACATCCGACATCTTTTAAATTCCTTTTATACTTGCGACGAAGCATTTCTCAATCGATCCTACACCTGCGACCTACCTCCATACCCGTCTGATCACCTACCTACACACGCCCTAATGAGGAAAGTCATGATGGAAACGGGACGTGTACAAAGGAGGAAGAAGAGGGAAGATACACCGAGGGGATTACACAAATTCCCAATGACGAAAACAACCCAACGGTACGATATGAAGGTGCAAGGCTAGAGCAACGATGAGATCTTGGACGGCATTTATATTTCGGAGTCAATGAGGATGTCAAGGGCTCGGGCGCGTGGTGGCCGAGGCTGAGGAGGAAATCGCGCTACGGCGTGTATACAGCGGGTTTCTGGACGGTTAGGCTTGGTATGATTCAACACATAGGTGAAGTCTGAGGTGGTCCGGTCAATAAGCGGGACGAGGTTTATGTGTACTTCACGGTAGTTAACCTGATCTGGCCTAACCCCACACGTGCTCAAGCTCCAATAGGAGTGCAACGGTAGCCATGTAACCTAGCACGTTAATGAACAAAACAAAACAGCCTTTGTGATGGAGAATGAAGGCTGAACACCTATCGGTTGTGTCATCTAAGAACCTGGGAGGGAAATATTCTCTTAGGGTCGAGATTCAGTCGCGAAAGAGGATATATTCAAGAGTTTCCGTCGAGAAAGCGATCAGGGGGAGTGGTGTTTGCAAGTTTGTGGCGAAGATCCGACTCGGAGAGATTTCACTCTTGCACCATATTCTATATTCACAATCCATTACTTCCCCCAGAGCCAAGTTCAGTCAAAGTTCGCAATATCAAAGAAGTTGGCCCACGAGGCAAAAATTCAAATTACTCCACCACGTCAATCTTTCATTCCCAAAGAGTCCGATTCTCGACTAAGCTTCATCAAGTCTACAAGTACGACATAGTACATCCTCACCCCAATGATCACACCTCTAGTCGACTTTCTCTGGCCTTAGTTGACCGCCAAATACACGCCCACGCCGATATTTATACCCGACGGAGGAAGCAAAGTGTGGCGCACAAATCTGGGAGATAGTTCTTTGGGATGGACGTGAGAGGGGTCAGGACAAGTTCACAAGATGATGCAGAAGAGGGATACGTTTTCGACGGGCGTGAAATTTTGAATTTTGGCAAGAGTTTTACGAATTGAGCTTTGTGCGCGCCAAGACTTCGCTTGCGAGAGTGCAGCTGACACTATAAAAACAAGCAAACGATGGAAGGTTTTGTGGCCCGCCTCCTGGCGGTGTTCTCCGGTATAGTCTGAGTAGCCTGGGCACCTACTCCACTTGGGAAGGAGACATCTCAGATTAAATTTCGCGCGGAGAAAAGTTGATGGATGGCGGAGGCATGTCTGGATAACTCAGGGTTTTTGAGATGTTCCCCTGAGTGGGTATTCACGGATGAGGGTTGACTTGGGGTGAAGAAAAAGCCACCATAACTTCGCAGTGGTACTTGCAAATGAAATCTGAGGCATGAGTGCTCCTCTTGTAAATTGAGTCATCTTTTCTGTACTTTTCTTTGATATTGTGTCATAGCTAGATAGCTGCATACGCAATTAAAATCTGATGCAAAAAAAAAAAAACCATTACTTTCAGTTAGGACTATAATATAAATCTAATCTAATCTAATCTATATTCACAATCTCGAATTTTCCTGGAAGATCTTTCCTAGCTAATTCATCTCGCGATCCCCTTCACAATCATCTCACCACCTACCAAAGCATTCCAATATCCAAAAGTCATACTCCCAATCTAAGCTACAAGTGGAAATCCATCTCGTCGCAACTATCGTGCGCTATAAATGCACGGTCGAAGAACTAGCTTTAGATTAGTCCAACCAAGGCCAAGGGCACCAATGATTCGACCTACGACGAATCGCAAACTACAAGATACGTACATTATATCGCCGTTACATCAATTTGGGCATTCGACAAAGGCTGTGGCATCAGAGCCTCGGTCTTGAGCTTTTTGACCCATATTTGGTATCCACGATTAGGGATACGGTAGCGATGGGGCAAGGCCGGACGGGTGGAAAGTCTGAATAGCTTATGAGATGGCGAAATTGAAAGAATGGTTAAGGATAGGTAGAATGGGAGGAAGAAAAGTGTGTTAAAAATGAAGAGGCCTCCGTGGGCGACAGGACGAGGAGAGGAGATTCTTGGGCGAGGTATGACTGGGACTGAACGCAAAAGAAAAATTAGAGAATGGGAGAGTGACAAGGGCGCGTGGTGGCCGAGGCTGAGGAAGAAATTGCGTTTCGGTGTTATAAAATGGGGTTCTCTGGACGGTTGGATTTTACATGTTCAACACATTGGTGAAGTCTGAAGTAGTTCGGTTATTCAGGTGGAACCGGGTTTATTGTACTTATATAATAGTTAACCTGATCCAGCCCGGCTCCATTAGTGCTCAAGCTGCCACAGAAGTGCGGAGCCTGCCAATTGCCTAGCACGTTAACAAACCAAACCAGCCTTTATGATAGAGATATCGATACTTTAGCTCATACAATGCCCTTGTTACTTTTGTAAGATGTAAAGTTTTGATTAATCCCCCCACCCCCTTATTTCCCAGCAGATTTAAACTCAAGCCATCTCGTTGACATCTCGAACTTTTTTAAATAATTTTTCTCTAGGAATAAATTATGCAGTTTTTGGGCAGGCCATTGGACTAAGAGTGCCATCTCTTCGAATAAAAATTTTTGATGATGTTAATATAATGAGGTAACTGAGCACTGAGGTTGAATATAAATTCTTAGTTCGCAATCACTCTAGAGAATTGGTCATCTTGCTTCGACAAGAGGCAACACTACTTAATCTATATGGAGGACTAGAACTTATGTCAATCTATTTTTGCTCATAATTTTAACTAGAGACCATTATTTAAAGGGTAGAGCGCTATATGGAAATATTAATAATCGCCGTTCTAATAATGTCTAGGGTTAGCATTTCCAAATACTCATCTAAGCTGAGCGAGTTACGTCACATAATCTTCTTATTTTGTATATAAATCTCATCCGCAGTAGTAAGGCTCTCTAGTCAAAATTTACAAAGTAATACCGTGTCCCACATATCTTTCTTAAGAAAAAGTCTTACAGGCTTATTTCAGACGAATCAATAATTAAATCTCGTGTCTTGAGCGAATAAGATTGTAGAACGGTAGTACGGTAGAATGAGAACAGCGGAATAATAGTCTTCTTTTGTCGGTCTTGAGCAACTTTCGTTTAAGTCTTGAGAAATCATGATTATACTCGGTATTTGCAGGTCACTAGAAATGACCGCTGCCCTAGGCTTTATTTCCCTAATGCGGCCTCTAGCACCTTATCCTTAACAACGATAATTTCATGCTTGACGCCTGAGATAGACTTCATTGTTATCAGTAGGAATCTATACTAGTTTCACAATTTGATAGAAAACTAGAATTCAACATAATATTTGTTTTCAGTTAGTGAGATTTGAGTCGACTATTTTGAAAAGATGTATCAATTAAATTTTTTCTCACATATTTTTAGTGACTTGCTCGTACTTTAGAAGGGGACGAAGAGGCTTTTACCGCACAATGTCTAGATCATCATCCGAAATGTCGAATTTCACGTTCTGAGCTGTACTTGAGCAGAGGTCCCAGCTTCCAGTCTCTTTGATACCTTTCTCATTAGCAAATCTAGCTTTCTTCTTTACCGCAGCCGCACTGAGGTTCTCGCCATCTTTCATTCTTTTTAAATCGTTAGTCAAGCTTCCACCCCAGCCACGCGCCATGCTTTCAGAGAAACTATCGCCCTTTTTACGCTTTAGGGGACTAAGGCTCACGTTCTGCTTTTTTACTTCTGAAATAATCCGAGTAGTGTCGTGAAGAAATTCTCCATGAAAGTTAGATTTTGAATTTACCGTAGTACCAGAAATTACACCTTGTCTGGCTCTCGCGTACTCAGCACCAAGGCCACTTCCTAATGTAGCTAGCTTCTTTTCTAACTTTCGCTCTCTTTCCTGCGATAACAAACGTCTTGTCATTCTCTCTTCCTTATTGCTCCCTCGGTGGAAGGCATCAGGATCGAAGTCAACGTCATCTAGTAGCTTTGTTGTACTTTTGCTACCAATGAAAACATGGGAGTGACTTTCACGATCGTAATGATTCCTAGGACCATTAAGTTTATCATGCCTTTTTTTATCGAGAGGATTAAACTTTCGTTTTTCAGATCCAAAATTTTCAAGTCTACCTTTGCCAAAAGTCATTGTATTGACTTCCATTCTAGAGGCATGGGTTTTTTGAAGACTGGCGTTTACATGGTAATCACAGAACTCTGTGTGGCGCTTGTCAACCCAAGAGCTACAAGTTTTCCCGTCCCGCTTTATGGACTTGCAAAATCCCAAATCACGAGCAGTACCGATCTCTAGAACTGTATCGGCGTCAGAGTTTAATGTTAAACTGAACTTGCCGGTATCTTCTCTTCCTCTTGGTGGAGGCATAATCTGTGGGTTAAGAATAGCAATAATAGTTCCTACTGTTAATTTCCAAAATTTCTCAAAGGCTGAGTCAAAAAGAAATAAGTCAAGTTCCCATTTCAAGTCTGTCAAAGTCACTGCCATAAATTTACCACGCTTCTCGTTCTTCGAGCATTGCTGATGGATTTTAGGTTCTGATTTAGAAGCAACAATTCCTAGTAATACAAAATCATTTTCGATGTCAGGAGTTGAATATTCAGGTGCTTTGACCTCTCGTAAAATGTCTGGTATTAAATATATTTTCTTCTCAGCTAATGTGCGGGTGAGGCGCTGGTGTGGGATAATCCTTTTTGTAAGATGCTGAGAGGAGTATGGCTCAAATTGTGATACTTCTGGCTCGTGATGATTTGAGCTGGGGTCGGATAGTTTGCTTTCTGGGTTTGCCTTTATTACTTTAGAGCCGTTTTTCTCTGAAGAAAAAGCCGTTTTGGTTTTGTTAGAACGTACATCTGACCGTAAATTTGAGATGGAAAGCCGTTTTGTATCTATATTGTCTAATTTTTTGACAGAATGTAAAATTTCTTCTCTACTAAACTCAGGTATACAACGGGGAATATCTGGAAAATCAATGGCATTTTGCTTTAAAATTTGGATTTGTTCCTGATTTATGTCGAAGGCACTACTTCTCTTATTCTTCATACGAACCTCCCTAATCTGACGCTCTCTATCTTGGGATCTTGTCTCAGCGATTCGCTCGTTAAATGATTTTGGCTGGTTCTTGGCTTTTTGTTCTATTTCAGCTGCTTTTAGATTCCAGTTCACACTTTGGCGAATTGTCTCGGGAAATAACCTATTCGATACATTATCATCTCTGCTTATTAAGCTTGGCGCTCTTTTTAGAGAAACTCCGTATCCTTTTACTCCTTTGTCAATTCCAAGTAATACTCTGTCTGTTTGTTTTCGAGGCAATAATTGTTCTACCCTCTTTATTGGAGAAGATGGAACATCAACAACTTGGCGGGGAGGAGATGAAATTACTTTTCTCTCTTTAGATTTGCTAATATATTTTTCTGAAGTGTTAATAAATGTTTTTTTTGTGCTACTTATTGTTGATTTAGATGAAAGTTTATCATGATTCGTGTTCAAACCCTGCTTGTTAACTTTTTGTAGTTTCTTTAGCTTAAGGCGTGCTTGTATCTCTTTTAACTGTAACTTAAGGGTTTCTTCATCATCATCATCATCATCGCTATCATTATCAGAGGCGACGCCCAAGGTTGCATTTTCTGCCCCTGCCGGAGGTGTGGAGGAATTTACACGCTTTCTTGGAGATGGCGATTGTGAATCATGCCTCCTAAGTTTTTTGAGATGTTGTCTGCCACTGGGTGTGCTTAAAAGCGCGTGGTGGGGGGAGCGCGGAGGCCATGGTATCTCCTCCTTAGCTGGTAAACAGTTACTGGAAAATTCGAAATTGAAAGGAAACGCTAGCTTACGCTGCAACATTCTATTCGAAGACTTGCTTGAACTCAGCTCGGAATCATCTATACGATTTCTATTAGGTAGTCTAATCTAAATCTGGGCCTCTCTATTGCGGGTTATGGCAACCAAGTGTTTGGATGGACTAGCGGCGAGTAAACATCGCGTCGTAATGCTCGGTAATTCGTGCTGGCGTACACACGCACCATGTCGCCTAGTAGAATCCAGCGATTGCCACAATGGAGACAAACGTCAGAAGGCGATTATCAGTACAAACACACACACATGATAAGACCTTGACTGACAACAAGTTTCAGTGTGATCAAGACAGCAAACAATCAAAGCAGGTATATTTATTACCAAAAGACGTCAGCAGTGAAGCCCGAATTATAAGCATTAAAGATCCAAAGCATTCTAATAATACTCGCTACTTAGTATGTCCAACAAAAGGAATCTTCGAATTCAAAAAGATTGCGGCGCCACTTTCTACCCCTCAGAGCTGGCTTATATGCCCTGCAAGTCATGAGTGTAACGAAAAAATAACGGATGACCTAGAAGAATTTGTTGAAGGATACATCACAAAAAATGCTCTACTATTCATCGCGACCCTAGTCGATCCTTTGTTCATTATCCTTCCAACTTTGATGCCTGCGCCTACGAAAATCTTATCTGAGCCTGTAAAAAGATTGTTCCTTTCCAGTGATGAATATCTCGATCGTCTAGTCTCTCGCTCGCCCCAGCTTGGATATCTCATGGAAACGGGCTCAATTAAAACCAGACTAGAGCAGAGAATAGTATCTGTATGTGATATGATCGAAGCTGGCGATGAAAAGATGTACCGTATTAATGACGACAAACTCATTTTAGAGTTGATAAACAAAGCCAAACGGATGGTTTCGGGTGGTTTACCCGAAAGTTTCGAAGAAAAATTCATCAGGAGATTTTTGGAAGCTCCAGTTATGAGCAAGAAACGAGAATTTAATTCTGATGTGGTCCAAGAAAGTAACATTATCGACGCAACTACTTCCATTCCGACCTCCACAGAAGCGCATGCTACACCGCTCTTAGAAAATATTGTTGATGACCATCACGCACAAGGTCCTATACCTGTGAAAAACCCTCTTCCCAAAAATATTTCTGCTGATGAAAAGTATAATTCAAGCCCTGATGCAGTAAAAGATCTCCTCCGTATCAGGACATGTCTTTGTTTCATAAATTCAAGCTACATATCCACCCAAGCTGGAGAATTAATCAAGAGTCTTATTAATGAAAACAAGTTCATCGACTTTTCTCCTTTAGACGCTCATCTTGCCGAATTAGTTAAGTTACGGCAGGACGCATTCTCTTCCAGGTCTATGAACGACTTTTCAAGAAAAAGATCCGTAGTAGAAGACGAAGGTTCTATGGATAGGGCCCACAAAAAGCAGAAGGAGCAAGATGATAAAAAAAGACAAGCAAAAGCCAGTCGAGGTGTCAAAGCATTGAAGAAAGTTAACGTAAGTGGTATGAAGAAAATGAACGAATTCTTTACGAAGAAATGATTGTTTCTTTCGACACAGCATATCCTATCGTAATATCTGTAATCTTACTATATGGGATTTGAATGGGTATTGTGAACGTGTATAATTAGTTGTAACTAAGAATGTCTAAATATGAGAATAGTTTGTCACCGGATCTTAAGTTATAGATCATTAATTGTGGAATCATAGGGTATATAAATTTAATAGGAGCCTCGTGCTCTACCTCTTGACCTTCCTGGCCCTCTTGTTGTACTAGTTCTAAGACGTCCATTATATAATCCTCGAGCACTGCTTTCCGATTTTTCAGAGGGAATTCCGGAGCTGCCTGTACTGCCCCTACCGCTACCCCTTGGTTTACTCCAAGCTCCTCGGACGCTTCGAGTTGATGTACCTACTTGTCGATGTCTTTCCTCTTCTTCTGCCTTTCTCTTCGCCTCTTCTAATCGTTTTTCCTCTTCAGCCGCTTTTCTCTCTTGGGCTTGAGCTCTCATGATAGATTCAGTTTCAATGGCGGCCAGATCTGCGCTGGCGCCTTCCCAGCCAGGATTCAGAATTAATCTTTGATTGTGTTCCGCCTGAGAAAGGATTCGGATCCATGTATCTAGTAGCGAAGATGCTGATTTTACGGTTCGCGATACAGTCTGTGATCCATTAGAGCTGATACAGGCTATTTGAATATGAACTAACGTCCATGTTTCCCTTTGCGCATTCAAGACTGGATACAACATTTTCTATGACTTTGTTTATGCCGCGTACATTCTCGAGCTCTTTTTGCAACAGTGAATCCCGAGCCTCTTCATTGCCACATCTTGGTCTTTTGTTTTGGTCTTTGGAAGCGCTACTGTTCCCCAAGTTACTCTCGTTATTGTGTTGACCAAGAATAATTTCTTGAAGCTCCTCATCCTCGTACTCTGAAAATTGGGATTCTTCAATGTCAGACATGTTTAGGCAAACAAGTTACGATTACTTTGAAGATGTGGCAAGAGAAATGTTAAATTTTAATCGTTTTCTTGCGCTAATTCGATTGTAGCTGCGCAAAAGCTGGCCATTCAACATACTTGTCGGTCTGATAAGCCTCGGAATGCAACCACGAGGCTCCTAATTGTAAGTGGGAGTCTAGTTGTAAATTTACAATTACATCACGTGGTATAAAACAGCCATACTCAGGGATTATTGCCAACAGAGGTACTGTTATGGCCTGCCACAACTCACATCACGAACCCGTGACCACGTCAAGAATGAATCATTGTTGGAAAATGCTGCTTAGTCAGCTGGGTGATTCGGTTAAACCCCCTCACCCTCTGTATTTAGAACACACACATTTTTCTCATACTTTACTCCACTACTATACATATTCTCCACATACCTAATCTTACCCTCTATCTATTCTCGCCACTGTGACTCCACTCTCTCAATAATCCTAACAATCATGGTCTTCCAAGAAAATTAATTAGATCCACCTATTGATGTCGACGTCCCCCAAAACTCCTTTTCAAACCAGAATCTCTGTTACGATGATGTTTCTGAAAATCAAAACCCCGGCCCCACTCAACAGTCTCTCCTCGAAGCTGCTCAATTAGCAGCCTCGAGAGCTCGTGAAGCAGAAACTTTGTTTGGCTCACCAGCCCGACTTCTCGACGAATATTGTTCTTCTCACGCCCGCGCTATTTTACCAGAGCCTCGAGCTCAAACCCTCCGCAACTGCACCTCAGAACTAACAACAATTGCTGCTAAGCACTTCAACGCATACATTCACGGTACCTCATCTATCGAGAAATCCAGCCCTGTGAAGACAGCGAAAGTAAACGTCTCCCAAAGCTACGCGGGTGCCGCCAAACGAGGCGCACAGAAGACCCCTCCCTCCACAAAGAAGCTAAATGCTCACGTACGAATTGAAAACGCTAAACCAGACGACAAATTGAACGTTCGCCTCCCATCCAACAGTTCTCTGCACAACGCATCGGGCTATGCAATACAGACGCACTTAAAGTCTAAGCTCGGCAGCCAAAGTAAGCTTCTATCAAATATTGTATCAACAAAGACAGAATTTGCTCTCCGCCCGAGTGCTGGTAATGCCTTAAACGAAAAACTGGAAACAGTTGATCTGTTTGGGACTGTTCCCATTGAGAAATCCTCGCCCTGGATGTCCTACAGGATTAAGAATGTCCCTCGATTCTACGGGACAATAAACCAAAACTTGCAATACTGCCTCGAACCGGTCACGATCGAAGCCGTAACAGCTGCTGTAGCAACAGCAGCTAGCGCTACTCCCGTCCCAGGATAATGAGACAAACCCAGAAAGCTCAGACACAACCTGGATTGCTCGCTTTCCTCTAGAGCATAGCCGTCTTCCGCGTATTCTTTATCTCATTGGGTGCCGCGCCGTCACCCGAATTCTTCCTAAACGCTCGTCGGTAGTACAGTGCAGGACGTGCTGGTTTTGGCACAACAGTCGCGCTTGTTCCTCTGCCCTAAGATGCCGCCTTTGTGAGTCCACCCAACACACAGAGAAGGACCACAATAACCTCTGCGCCGCACCGGCTGGACATACCTGCCCTCCGCGATGTGTGTACTGTCACGGCCCTCATCCAGCAGACGATCCAACTTGTGAGCTACGGCCACAATCCTCTAATCCTCCAAGGACAAAATCACAGGTTGTCGCCATCCAGAAGATCTTCTCTGAGGCGCGCATCCGCCGCCAAACAGAAGCTGGATGCGTTAAACATTCTGCCGCCCCGCAGGGCTCCAGCACCTCTCACACAGCATAGCGCACTAGCTATCCTGCAGTTTCCCAAGTAGCAGGACCATCAACATGATCTGCAGCCGCATCCACGGCGGACTATTTTCTTAAACCCTTTTGAGATCTTGAAGACATCGGCCGGTGCGTCAGATGAGCAGATGGAACTTTGATAAGATAGAAATCGACGTGACAACCTTTCAACTTGCTTTGTACCAACTCATTACGTACTAACTTGCCCTCATATCCGTGGGTATTGGACTTACACCAAAGGGGGTTATTTTTGATTTTTAATTTTTTTCCCTTATATATCATTTATTGTGGGTTAATAAGCTTGGTCAAACCTCGACGGAGAGAGTATCTGCCATGACCTCAAATATTACCACGTGTTCTCATGTGAACGATTCGTCATGTACAACTTATATAGATGATGGAAGACGTAGAAGAGAGAGATATATATATACATTCGAATAACCAACCTGACATTTGTCGACCCTTGTGATATCACATTGTAAGACCTCCCAACATTTATATCATTTACCATAATTGTATCTTGGTCATCAGATACTCTCTTATTTTGAAGATCAGGTCTCATGTCCCTAGGTTGGGGAGTCGTGGGCCTCCGACAACTGAGGCAGTAAGCTTTGGCGTCCTTTTTCCATTTGGATTTTAGATAGACGTTAAATATAAAACAAACAAACTATGGTCTGCCAAGGGGTTTGTCAGGAGCTAGCTTAATAAACTAGCCCAACCATGTACAGTCAGACCCCTGTTAAGACGACATTTCTTCCGGAACTGACTTCGCTCCCATACATTTACCGATTACACGATTATCGTTCCTCAACCTCTGAATATCGTCTTTACCAGGGTTTTTTGCTAGATTGTTGCTAACAATGCCGGCAAAAAAGTGAATTTCTGTGGAGCAACGACGTGCTCTACGACGATGGGCGCACCGCCAGGTCCCAAAACCAACCAAAAAACAGTGCATTGAGTGGTTCTTAGCTGAGTACGGCCATCGATTAAGCCAGTCCACAGTCTCCGAGTCCTTGAGCAAGACCTTTGCGAAACTCAACGAAGCTCCAAGTACTACTGCGCTACGATAGCGAGCTGGAAAATGGCCTGACCTTGAGAGTATTAGAGCGATTAAAGACGGCAAATGGGAGTATATTAATTAATTCATTTTATTGTCCTGTCTTAGTCTATGACTATGTAGGACATGCAGGTCCTCTCTGCCTACAGGCCAAGGATACCTATACCAGTAGTATATCTCCTCCTATGCCTCCCATACAGCTCTCCTCAAACAGTACCACCCCTCACAAGTCCTCATTCGATCATACACTAAGAGGAGCCCTTTGCCCTTCATTATCTCCCCTCTCCAGCCAACGAAACGAGGGCCATTTGCGGGTGTATGGCAGCCGGAAAAAATCGCAAAAACCACTGGGTGCGGGGCTCTTTTAATACCGACTTTAGGAATAAATGCGAAGACATATTTCCCCTTCTGAAGCGTTCGAAGAGGCCGGCCAGCTGGGCGCTGCAGACTTGTGGGTACCTCGGGAAATTCACGCTCTGCCTTTCTAGCCTCCTTCCAACTCCTTCCCGAAGGTCGTGCTGAAATGTCAGAAAAGTCTTGACAGAGCGTGATTGCTGTATAGTAGCTTAGCCTAGCTTCTTTTGTGCCGTCCAGGGCGCTGGGGAGTGCCGTTGACTCATCGACGAAAGAAGCCCTCCTGGCTAATTAGCCGAAATCTTGGTCTTGGCGCCCACAAAAAATCCAAAGTTGAAAACTCCTCAAAAATATCGGTCCCAGCATGTTCTTCAGGGACCTGTCTCCCCCCCTCGCTCCACATCTCAGCCGCCTGTTCTTCCTCAAGTTGTTTGTCCCATTAGAGCAACAGTCCCCTATTAGCCATGACCCAGGCTTTGTATTTTTCGTCTTGATTTCCTCCTTGCTGGTATTAATAGCGTCGTAAATATGTAGCGAGTGATGGCTAGAGATTAATGGGGCAAGCTCCTGTTTGCAATTGGAGCAACTTCTTTATTGGTGGTTGAAGCGAGATGATGGGTGGTTAGAGATGGGTTGAGGACTCAGAAGATAATGATGAGAGAGGCATTGTCGAGAAGTTGTCATATGGAGATGTGTATGTTGGGATTACAGGGTGATATCACGTCTCTACTGGAGTAGGTAAAGCTATGATATATTTGATTTGTCGAGGATTTCTCTACTTCTAATCTCATACTATGAAGTACAGCTAGGGGTCAACCCTTGTATGCTAATCTGGTCATGTGATCTATGTCACATGACTAGTTAATGTGTTCTACTAACAGTGTATGAGGTTGCTTTCGACTTCGAGTCGTCAATTGTGTAAGTAATATGGAGATTGTTTTAATTTCCTATTGTATTAATTGCTTAAGTTATCTGCGTGACAGGACCTTCTTCTATATACATGAATAAGGGGTTATCTGCACACTAGTGGATGTTCCAACAAGTCTTCTTGTCTAACCGAGAAAGGAAGGCTGTGAGAGATCCTAGCGCTAATAGATACCATTAGGAATCTATTGGGAACTACTATGTCATACCAATGAGTGATGATCTAGGTCAATCATATCTCATGGCGCATTTGCACATGATTCTAACGTGAATAGCTTATTGTAATGTAGTCATGTTACTCCCCTAATTACAATAGCAAGTTCCCGAATTCGATCTTACCACATACCACCTCGCCTCGGGGACCGATCAAGGAGCCGCCCCAATATCTAACGCATGCTTGACTTATTAACAGCCATCAATCATTATTAGATCTATGACGTTACTTAAAACCGTAGGGAGGAAGTAATTCACAACATACAAAGCTCGGGATCTCGACCATGGGGTACCGTTGTTCTGATAGTATTATACTACTTGAGGAAGAACAGGCGGCTGGGTCCGATAATTTGAAAGCGAAGAGGCTCTAGTGGGCATTTTTTTTTTTGCATCAGATTTTAATTGCGTATGCAACTATCTAGCTATGACACAATATCAAAGAAAAGTCTAGTGGGCATGCTTGGACTGACATTCTTAAGCGGTTTTCGACATCGGAATTTTTGTGGGCGCCAAGATCGAACTTTCGATTAATCAACCAGGAGAACTTCTATTTTCGATGAGTCAACGGCACTCTCCAGTTCCTCAGATGGCACCAAAGAAGTTGGGAAAAGCTAATCTACAACA